GGGAGTCTTGCTCTGTCGCTCAGGCTGGAGTGCAGTGGCGCTATCTCAACTCACTGCAACCTCTGCCTCCCAGGTTCAAGCGATTCTCCTGCCTCAGCCTTTCAAGTAGCTGGGACTACAAGGCACTTGCCACCACGCCTGACTAATGTTTTATATTTTTAGTAGAGATGGGGTTTCACCATGTTAGCCAAGATGGTCTCGATCTCCTGACCTTGTGATCCGCCCACCTCAGCCTCCCAAAGTGCTGGGATTGCAGACGTTAGCCACCGCGCCTGGCGATAAAATCTTTTTTAAAAATTTTTTCCATTTAATTTTTGTGGGTCCATGGTGTTACCTATTTGTAGGGTGCACGAGATGTTTTGATACAGGCATGCAATACGAAATGATGAAATAGATAAAATCGTTAACAGAGAGCCCAACTGTAATTTTATATAGCCTTTTTATATATTTTTGTATAACACCTTAAAATCTTGTGTTAACTTGGGTGTGTCATTCTATTTAATTCCATAAGTGTTCTAGTGTCTGTTTAATAAATGCCAGCCATTGTGGGACAAGTGTAGCTCTTACCACAAGAAACTTTAGTAAAGGAGAAAAATACAAACATCAATTACCTAGTTTGATATGATGTGTGTTCTGTTCTAAGTGTATATAAAGGGCTTTGGGAACACAGATGGGGTAGAGTTCACACTCCAAGGAGATTTGGGGTGACTGCTAAGCTAGATTGATAGGAGGAGCAGAAATAAGCCATGCTACTTATTAAGTTGCTGAATTTACTATAGCACTTCTACCGAAACTTGGAAAGAGGAAGCAAATGGAATAAGTGGTATTAGAGTGAAAAATAATAACATAAGCTCTCTATAACCAAGAACTTTTTTCAAGGAGAAGTTATTCTGATATCCAGTAATATCAAAGTCAGTGCTTCCAGAGTAATCTGTCTCCTTTGTGGTTGTTCAAGGGCTTGCTCTCAATTTTGCGCAAGTTGAAAAGTGCACCAGACCAGGAGGTGAGAATACTTCTCCTGGGCTTGGATAATGCTGGCAAGACCACTCTTCTGAAGCAGCTAGCATCTGAAGATATCAGCCACATCACACCAACACAGGTGAGCACTACCTTGGCTCCAGATGCCGTGTGACACAGAAAGACGATAATAGCAATGTGAAAGACAAAATGGGAAATACTGTTTTGTCCACTTCCAAATTTTGTCTCTGAGAAAAGTCTATGCAATCTGAAGATAACCAGATTTCAAAAATATGTAAGAGATTCCATTCTCATGTGGTATTTAGAGTAGTCAGATTCATAGAGACAGATGCAGAATGGTGGTTACTGGAGCTGGGGAGGGGGAATGGGGAGTTACTGTTTAACGGGTACAGTGAGTCAGTTTTGCAAGATGAAAAGAGTTCTGTGGATAATGACCCACAGTGTGAATGTATTTAATGCCATGGAACTGTACACTTTAAAATGGTTAAAATGGTACATTTTATGTTATGTTAAAATATGTACACGGACACACTTCACAGTGCCCACTTCATCAGGCTACCGCACTGCAGCGTCTGCACCCCACTGGGCTTCAGCCTCCACACATCACCTTTCAGCACATGCACCCCTCTTCCAGATGTGCCCCTCCTTCCCCACCCACACATGTCCTCAGCAGCTGCATATTGTACATGTTATCTTACAATTTAAAATATATGTATACATATATACAGGTGTGTGTATTTGTGTGTATATAGACAAATCCAGCAGATCTAAGTGAGTACCTATATTCTTTTTATTTTTATTTTATTTCTTTAAATTATTTATTTTTTGAGACAGAGTCTCACTCTGTCTCACAGGCTGGAGTGTGGTAGCGCAATCTTGGCTCACTGCAACCTCTTTTTTAAAAATAGCTTTATCTTCTCTGATTATGAACGTAGTGCATGTAGAAAACACAGAAAAAGTATAAAGGAGAAAACTCTGAGAAAGACCATGGTTAATATTTTACTGTGTACTGGCCGGGCGCGGTGGCTCACGCCTGTAATCCCGGCACTTTGGGAGGCCGAGGCGGGTGGATCACAAGGTCAGGAGATCGAGACCATCCTGGCTAACACGGTGAAACCCCGTCTCTACTAAAAATA